CATCAACCCACTTTGTTTCCATCCTACCTTTGGTATCACTGCATGGTTCTCCTGGAACACCTGATACTGGTCCCGAAGGGAGGGGAAGCCCAAGGCCAGCAGTTCTTGAGATAGAGGCTGGCCAAAACAACCTTTACAACATGAGTGAACCTAAGGCAGGGTCAGGCCATATTTGAAGATTTAACCCCAGAGACAGGTTTGGGGGTTGGGACTAAACAGACAGAGGGGTCAGAGGAGGGATGGGTTAGGATGCTGTCAGCCTATGAATGATCCCCCACCAGAGCATCCCTTTCACTATGCTGGACCACAGATGTAGTCGCCACCGGCCTCCCTGCCTATAGACCGTGAAGAACTAGCTTCCCCGGAACAATGAGACTTCCCTGGACTCATGGCTGGGCCTGGGACACAGCACCTCCGTTCCCAGTATGCCTCATCCTATATGTGGCCTATATTCTTCTATGAAAAAATAACCTCCCTCTTCCCCCAGGGGTCCTTTGTCTACCAAAAGCTGTTGCTGCTGCCCCTGTGAGGACACCATGGCACCTCCTGGCAGCACTTTTCAAAATAAGATGCCTTTTTAATCCTTTGAGAATTTTCTACATGTATACAAATGATTTTTATCATATTCACCTCCAGTCCTCCCCACTAATTCTTCCCAGGTCCACCCCCATTCCAACTTTGGTCCTCATTATTAAAATACAATTTAATTAATTTTTTTATAATATGTTGGTCCCAATTTGTGCTGCCTATACAAGCGTGAGTATGGGGCCATCCCCTCGAATGTGATTGATCTACCAGGGCTGCATCCTTAAAGAAAACGATCTCTCCTCCAATACCCATCAATAGTCAATAACTCTTCAGCCAGAGGTGGGGGCTCATGAGCCCCTCCCCCTCCGTGGCATCTCTTCCTAATGAACCTCTGCCCTGCTCACTCTTTTACCATTAGCCCGTGTGGCCAGGAACACTGTGTGTATCTGAGAAAATGTATCAACTTATAGGACTGCTTCTGGGGACCCTATCTACCTGTCATCAGCCTGACCTCTGACCCCAGTTGTCAGGGCTTCACTCACTGGCCCTTTTAGAGCTGGCGTCTCTCAGGAGTGGGCCTCCCTGATGCCATTAACAGCTGGAAGCAGCCCAGAGAAGACGTGATCTTCAAGGACCTGCGTTGGACTCCTGGACAGCCTTTGGTACCCTTAGGGGACAACCCGAGCACAGAGCTGAATGGATGGGACAAGGATGCTATCTGCTTCCCAAAGGAGGCTAAGAAGGGCAATCTGAGGAAGGACAGGAAGGCCCCAACCTCACTGAGGCCATCTGCAGAACTGGAGGCTTGGGTTTATAGACTTCCAGCTTTGTTGACTGGGCCCGGCCCACTCCTTGTCTGGTCAGTGTGGTGTTAGGAAGTATTTGGAGAGTATGACTTTTGGGATGCTTCCAATACAGTAAGCAAGGGTTCAAAACCATTGTGATTTAGAAACTGATGTTGGATGTATTGTCCTGGCCACAGGGTGTGTGCATAGGCCCTGTGGGAAGAGTATCTCCCAGGAGACCACTTACACAAAGGGACTTTCCACACAGACTGTCAGGCTGGAGCAGGGAGCCCAGCAGCCACCTGGCTTTGGCCAAAGAAACTTAGAAGAGAGTGATATACCTCAAAAAATGTGCTAAGCCCCGAGGCGAGTGTCCTTCTGGGGTCGGGTGAGCTCTTAGTCAAGTGAAGGCAAGGGCGATTGCTAGACAGAGGTGAGAAATGGAGAGGTCACTGGAAAGAGGAAGATGGACTGGAGACAGAGAGAGAGAGAGAGAGAGAGAGAGAGAGAGAGAGCTGCATTTGTAACTGAGACAAGAGAGGGAGCTGCATTATTTATGAAATGGCCAAGCACGGAGCTAACGAGGAAGGAGGAGGCCTTTAGAGGGGAAAGTGGTTTCTTTTAAAACATCCGTATTTTGCTGAAAAACACACACACACACTATGATTTAGAGCATGCTGAGGTTTAGAAGCGGAGATGACTCTAGAGCAGTTAGAGCTCATGGGAGGGAAGACAAGGGCTTGCAAGGGGCGGGCAGAGGAAAGGCGCGGAGGGCTGAGGCCTTCCTGAAAGCTGCCACGGAGATGCTTACTACAAAAAACTGAGCCAAACCTCTAACTTTTTTTTTTTTTTAAAAAAAAGATTAACATAATTTATTTACAATAAAATGCACAGATCTGCAGCGTTTCATTGGATGGGGTGGGCCAATTGCATGTGCTTGTGTAACCATCACTGGAAACAAGGTACAGCATATATTTATTCTGGAACATTCCCCCATACACCAACTACTTTTGAACTTCTTTCAGTATGGCTCCCTTTTGCTTGCTCTGGATTTACAGAAGTGGGATCCTATAGTCTGGTTTTTTTTTTTTTTTTTT